CTGGCGCCCCTTCCCTTTTCTGTCCTCTTGCGTCCTCTGGAGCGGCCCTCATCTGCCTCCCAGCACGACCACAGGACACCTCCTGTCGCTGAGAGCCGCGCACTCCCACCCCGCATCTGCTCCCTGGGCTCTGGGCACATAGGGAAACTGAGGCACAGAAAGGGGTGCGGTGGCCCCTAGTTCAGGTCACTCTCTCGTTAGCAGCCCAACGCAGCCTGCTCCCAGCCCGCTTCCTCCCGCGGGCCCCGCTCTGGAAGGTCAGCAGCATCTTGTCTTGCTCACTCCACAAACATGCGCACACACACTGTGCCAGGCAGTACTGAGCTGGCCGCAGGGCACAGCGCCGGGTGGGGGCGCTTAGGTCACATGCAGGGCAAGGGTCCTTTGCGGTGGGGGCTCCTACTGACATGAACCCAGACTCTAAAAACCCCAGATTCCTCAGGAAAGCCAGAAAGGGCTTTATCTCACCTTACCTCGAGTTCATTGATGCCCCCCTGCACCGCCCCCAACCCCCCATATATTCATAATACACTGCTCAAGCTAATGTGTTTGTTGCAAAGCTGATCCATGTCTCACAGGTGAGTACACTCACCAAACTTTTTGTGTGTTCCTCTCCATCCTACCTTCCATTCACCACCATGTACACTTTGCACACACGGAATTATATCTTACCCCGCCCCCATAATCATTATAGCTAAGCTTCTTTAGCAGTTACTAAGAGCCAGGAACTTTACAAACATTACCTCATTCACAACAACCCCATGAGCTTGAAACCCTTGTGAGCATTCCTGTACCCATTTAATTGACAAGAAACTGAGGCTCAGCAAAGTCCTAATACTTAGCCAAAGCCTAAGTTCTGGGTTCTGGGACCCCACCTTTCCCTCAGATGGGAGTTCCCATCTCAGTATGCACAGGTAATGTCTCAATCCTTGTTTCTGAGTTGTGACTACAAAGTAATTATTAGGACTTATTACATGCTTGGTATGTACTGGGCATTGTGCTAAGTACTTTTTATGAATGAACTTATTAAATCCTCACAAGGGGAAGGACTGAGGTACAGAAAGGTTACTTGCCCCAGGTCACACAGTCAATAAACTGAGAGAGCCAAGATTCTAACCTAGGCACTTGACTGGGTGGTTGACCACTATACCACACAACCTCACGTGCCGACTGCTCAGTGGGTCCCCTAACCTTATTTTTTCAAAGCCTGGCTCTAAAATAAATGCAGGGACAGACTGCTGAGTTTTGTGCAGCCTGCACAGTGTTTGGGGTGGAGCAAACACCTCCCTCATTTTCAGTTTCTACTTGGCTCCTGCAGTTATTTGACTTTGTGTCCCCTTTATTTTAAAGATCATGTCTTGTACATTCTTGATGCATACAGGTGTTCTTGTTTTCCAGACTGCCAGAGGCAAATGTTACAAGTACAGACGCGTGCACAGGGATGTGCCCTGAGAGGGTACACATGTGTCTCCACACTAGTTCCACCAGAGGACCCTGGACACCCACAGGTGCTTTCCCTGTCCACCCCCAAACACACCCACTCACAGATGGGGGAGCTGAGTGGGGAGAGGGGGGTAACTTGAGCCCCTGTTCCCCAGGAGAATCCGAGGGGCTGGCACATTCCGTAGCAAAAATAACCAATGGGCAGCAGGCGTGAGTGACGGGACAGCTGGGCCCAGGAGGCCGGCAGGATTCTGTGTTCCCGCCCTGGGCCAGCACTGCTTACCCTGAAGGGCTGGCCTGGGACATGCCCTCAGGGTGGGCCTCCCCAGCTGGCCCCGTTTTTCCCCCATAGCTGGACAGCTGTGCCCCCCGAACAGGTCCCCATGCCCAGATTTCCAAGTTCTGCACAGTGTTTCTCCTTAACAGGAGTAAATCCAAATCCTCATGCCAGCCCTCTCATACAGACTCTCCTCTGAACCACATGTACCCCCTCCCCTCCCCTTTGCCTCCTCTCTTTCTGGCTGGGTTCAGTTTCTCCCTGCCCCCACCCCACCCCCTTACTACCCTGCTCTGTTTTTGTTTTTTTTTAAGAGAGGGGGTCTTGCTCTGTCACCCAGGCTGGAGTGTACATTGCAGTCTCAAACTTCTGGGCTCAAGCAATCCTTCTCCCCCAGCCTCCCGAGTTGCTGGGACTATGGGTACATGCCACCATGCCCTACTCCCTGCTCTGCATTTCAGCCGTGCTATATATTTGACTTGTTTACTGTGTCTGTTACATATTGCCTGTCTCCTCTCACTAGAAAGTAATCTCCTGGAGGATATGAATTTTGGTCTCTCCTCCACCCCCCCTCATATATCTTAAGCACTTAGAACAGTAACTGGCACACAGTAGGCACTCAATAAATATGGAAGAGGGTGGCAGAGCTTTGGGTGGCAAGGGTGGGAATGGGACAATAAATCTTCCTGAAGCCTCCCCATTCATACAGCCTTACCCCTTCTCTATCCTGACCCAGGCTTTTTCCCAAGAAACAGCTGGAGATGTGACCATTTCTCATTCCACCCAAGATCTTCCTGGGGGAACCTGTCCTAAATCAGGAAAGTGTCTCTGCACCACCTTAGTGGATTTCAGAGGCGGGGGTGGAGGTGGTGGAGGTGGCCTCCTCTCTGCTCCCACTCTGGGCCCTCCTCTCCCTGATTGGCGTAAGCATGAATGGATTTTCACACTCTCCAGACTCAGTTCCAACTCCTTACTAGTTTCCACTTCGCTTTTTAGCCAGATATTATAAACGCCAGATGAAAGAAATGATAATTGCAGAATATTTCTCGATGCAGGTTCTGGTGCATCCACCGCCTTTCCTTTGCCTAAATGGCTCCCTCTCCCTCCATGCCTTCAAATCCCCAGGATGGCTTACTACCTGCCACTGGCTTTGGCCCTTCTTATTGACAAAGTCTTCCAAACCCTGGCTATGAAATGCAACGAACATGCAGTGTGACATCATCAGCTTGTTCCTGTCCCTTGGCTGTCCCTCTCCTCCTTTTAGTACTGGTCTCCCCTCCAGCCACACATGCTCCAAGCTTTGAGGGTAGCACTTGCTCTGGTCATTTGTTTTGCACATGGTTCCTAACCTGTGCAGGTGGGAGCCTGATATTCTGAAGAAGAATACCTGCCTGTTTTGAAGACAGAGTCAGAAGATGGTTTGGGGATACTGACAGGAGAAAGAGAGTGATGATGACATATCCTTGACTTAGCCTTTCCACTCTTCTCTTTCTGGAAACAGGCAATGTGAACCCAGACCCAGACACCTGGCTTTCAGACCCAGATCTGCCACATCACTAGCTATGGGACCTTGGGTAAGTTTCCTCTTTGAACGCATTTTCTTATGAGTAAGGGTCATAATAGAATAGTAACCTGGGGTTTGTAAGATTAAATAATTAAAAAGGAGATAGAGTGTCTTACACAGATTAAAGATTCTACAAGTATCCTACATTCCTCCCATCTTCCATTCCTTTGTTTCCTATTCTTTTCTCATTTATACACCCCCAAATCCCAGCACCACTACCCCAGTTTTCCATCCTCCAAACTCTCCAGCCTATAACCCCTTTGCATCCTCAGGCCCCACGCTTCCAGAACCATGCCAATATCCCTCCATCCTTGAGCTAATATCTGACGCTTCAGGCGTGCCAGGAACCTTAGCATCACCCTGTCTTGCCAAGCCAGAGAGCAATCCCAGCCAGGAAATCATGTCCTTCCCTCTGTAGCCAGGTCCTTGCTTGGCTTCCTCGAGTACTCTGAAGTCCTCCTGCTGTTGCTTCCAACCAAGAAAGTTTTCCATGAGTAAGTCTCAACAATGCTGAACTGCTTTCCCAGCTGCCCCTGGACCAGGAGCTGTCACTGGGCAGGAACTGATGAGGGGTGGGCAGCAGGAGGAGGAGGAAGCCAGATTACCCAGTCAGTTCCCCAGCATCCCCATAGTAAAGCCCCTCCCTCCCCCAAATCATGTGGGAGGGGTGAAATAGTTACACACATGGCTCTTTGCAGTGGGACAGCCTGAGGCTTCCACCTATTCTGCCACCTCCTGTCTATATAACCAGGACATGTTCTCAAAGGTGACTTGCTGCAGCCCAGTCCTCTTCCTGTTCTAACACAAATGTCAAAAGGCCCATGTTCCAACCCCAGGGTCCCTTTCTCATCCCAAGCCTCTCAAGTCTGCAGTTTTATCAGAGCAGCCCAGCCAGGACACTGCCTCCCAGCCCTGCCCCCCCCCCCGCAATGTGTCTAGGTATACCCAGCCAGGACTCAGCTCTGCTGACCCCACCACCCAGGTTAGAGAGGGGCTGAAGAAACAGTCCTAACCAGGGTCTCTTGCACCTCATCACTCCCCACACTTTGAGGGACCAGGGCAGACCAGGAAGCTCCCATGTTTAGAAATGCCAGCACTTTGAGAGGCCAAGGCAAGAGGATTACTTGAACCCAGGAGCTCAAGACCAGCCTAGGCAACATAGCAAGATCTCATCTCTACAAAAAAAAAAAAAAAAAAGGTAGTCAGATGTGGTGATGTGAGCCAGTAGTCTCAGCTACTCTGGAGACTGAGATGTAACGATCGCTTGAGCCCACAAGTTGAGGCCGCAGTAAGCCATGATCATGCCAGCCTGCTTGACAGAATAAGACTCCTATTCAAACAAACAAGAAATGCCAGGCCTGGGTCAATCATGTAACAGCTATTACCTGAAAACTGGACAGCTCTCCCTCACCCTCTCCCCTTCCTCCAGAATGTCTTGAGTAGTACAAAACTCCCAGAGCCAAAACTAGGAGGACAGGGTTCTTGACTTTACAATGGCCATAGCTAGCTATGACTATAGTTGGACTAGTATGTCTTAGGCATATCTCCCTACCTTCTACTCCACAACATGCTCGCCTGTAAAAGGATATTTGGAGCTGCAGTTCTGTGTGGTCCTTTCCAACTTTAAACAAACATCATGACCACTACTCTCCCTCTCAGCCCTTTCCTTTCTTTATCGAAAATTTCTCTCCCCTTAGTCATATTCACATCAACTTACCTATCTTGTCCTTTGATTTATCTTCTGTTTTCAGCTCCCTTTGCCCCTGAGAGGACCAGAGCTGGGATCCCCAAGGAGCCACTTTTTCCCCAACTCGGAAGTCTGCCAGAACAAGTCTCATCCCCTGACCCCAGGCTGAGGAAGCCTATACCTGGCCAAGCACTATGCCAACTGGGAAGAGCCAGCTTTGGCCCCTCTGGCTTAGACCTTGCCACAGAGACTTGAGGAAGGTAGGCAGGATGGGGCTGGGGGAGAAGAGATGCTGACGGAAAGAGGCTAGCCCTACTCCCTCTCGACTCAGCTGTACCCTAAGGTCTCCTTTTTCCTCCAGCTGCTGAGGTCCCCAGCCTCCAAGGATGTACCTCTGCATGACCACACCCAGCTGGAGTGATGTGTCCATCTTGAAAACGTCCAGGATGGTGAGCCCCCAAGCTCTTTGCCACCTCCCCCAACTGTAGCCTACTTCCTCAGAATTCTGTTTCTCAAGGTTCGGTCTCCCTGGGGCTCTGTCTTTGGCTTAGAGAAGAACCGTTCAGCTAACTCAGGGACTGAAGAAATAAAAAAGGAAGCCCAAAAATGGACCCAGAAAGAATGGTCCAGCCCCAGCAGGATCAGGAGCACGTGGCCCAGGCTCCTGTCCTCCCCTTTTGCCCCAGACCCTCAGGTTCCTTCATACTCCAGTCTAGAAATCTAACCCCACACGGGCAGAGACCGGAGCACTGGCCTGAAGTTTCTTCCTTCTGTGTACTCCAAACATCCACTCTGAAGCCTCTGGTAGACATAGTCCATGGGCTTTTCACACCAACTCCACATATCCATCCTTCATCTGGGCATTACCACATGGAGTCCAGAGCCCTCCACAGTTTGCACACACACCGGCACATAGATTCTCAAGCAACTTCATTCATGCCCACAGGCCTTGGTTCTAGCTCCACCTCCTCATGTCCTGGACCCTGTTCCAATGGCCTCTTCCACCCTGCCTGGTGGTGGCCACACCACCCCTGCCATATCAATGGTCTGCAAGGAGCTCAGCCCATGCCCTCAACAGTGCAGCTTGGGCCAGGGGATCTGGCCATCTCTTTCAAATATGTAGACACCTGTAAGGGGCTGGTCAGGGGGGTCTCCCAATTAACTTACTGGAGCTGAAGACGACCATTTCCCGCAGGAAGCTTCTCTCTACAAGGGACCTAGGAGGACTTGCACTATGGAATTCCCGCAGAGGCCTGAGTGAGTCTCAGGCTTGGCTTACCAACTGCTGCCCCATGTCCTCTGACCTTCCTGCGGGGAGCCTCTCTACCCCCTTCCCTGCACTTTCCTCTTGATCCGCACTTCTGGGCCAGCTGCTAAGCCAGGGCACCTGGGACGAAGGTGGAGGCCACCTGCACCTCGCCCACGTGGCCTGGGCAGCCCTTCTCTACCTTGAGCACCACCCACCCCAGCCAGGCGCGGCCACCACCTCCCCATTACCTCCGACCTCCAGCACTGTGAGCACAGCCTCGCAGGAGGCCTGGCCCCGCTCGTTCTGGGCCCTGCAGCCGTACACGCCCGCGTCCTGCGCCCCGCAGCGCCGCAGCCACAGGCAGCTGGGCTCCGGGGCCGGCGCCGGCAGGAGCTGCCCATCCCGGAACCAGCTGAGGCTGGGCTGGGGCGTCCCGCTCACCGCCACCCGCAGCCGCACGTCGCTGCCCGCACACACCGCAGCGTTCTTCAGGGGTCGCAGGAAGACCGGCGCCCCGGCCACGGCCGCGGGGGCCCCGCCGCCGGCCCCCACCTTGGCCCTCTTCGGGGGCACCCCGGGGCTGGGGGGTGCCCTCGTGCCCACGTCCTCGCCTCGCGTGCCCCGGGCTTTCTGCATGGCCTCTGCGAGCTGGGCTGGGGGGACACCGGAACCGGGCGGCCACGGGGGCACCCGCGGGATGGTGCCCTGGGAGCCGAGTCTGGGGGCCGGCGGCCTGCCTTCCTGCTGCCTGCCCGCCTTCGGCCTGTGCTACCCAGAAGGTCACCAGGGCGGCCGGCCGTTGCGCCTGGGGGCTATTTTTAGGCCCCCCGGCTCGGGTTGCGAGGGAGCCGTGGAGGGAGGGGGCAGCAGAGGAGGGACTCGACTCCATTCGGCTCCCTCTTTCTCTCCAGGACCCTCCATCGCCGGCCCGGCTTAAACAAGTCCCGGGGTTTGTTCCAGGGCCCCCTTCCCATGACGTCCCTGCCCCTCGACCGACCCACTGCGGGGAGTCGGGTTACCCCGGGCTCAACCCATTTCCCTTCCTCCCTTCTCTCAGACCCCCGATCCCAGCCTCACTCGGCTTGGGGAGAGGAAGAGGACCTGTCCCGGTGAGATGCCTGAGAGGTGGATGGGGAGGCGGGCCCAAGTGGAGGTGGTCGGACAGCCTGGAAGGCAGGGCCAGTGGCCTCCCGCCTGAGCTGGTGAACAGTAAGACCAGGAGCCCGGGAGTTCGGTGGGTGGGGCTTCCAGCTGGTCCTGCCATTACTTGCTGGGTGACCCCAAGCCTCTCAACTCGCGAGTCCTCCTTTGTAAAAATGGGTAGTTGAATAGGGTCGCAACAGGCAGGAAAGAGGAAACAGCATGAACAAAACGAGCACGATGAAAGCGGACAGTGCACTCTGGGAATCAGAGGGATCTGGATCACGGTGCGTGGAGGAAGCGGGCTGGGGCCTGACGAGAAGGATTTGGTTGCTAAAGTCTGTATCCTGAAGGCTGGCGACGCCACAACAGGCAAATCGCCTCAGCAGAAGATCCCTTTGGCAGCCACAGTGTGTAGGGGGGATGGAGACCAAGGCCAGTTAGAATGGTGGCTCTCCAAGGCGGGTGCCTGTTAAAAGTCCAGATTCCTAGGCTCCACCTCCAGAGACGCTGGTTCAGCAGGGTGGGCAGGGAGGAACCTGCATTTTTTTTTTTTTTTTTGAGTTGGAGTCTCACTCGGTTGCCCAGAC